AGCTGGCGAGGAAGGACGAAGGACGGGCACAGTGGGGTAGGAGGGGGGGGGCGCTGGGGGCAGGTTACCCCGTTGGCGTGAAGGGCAAGTGGTGGAAAACAGGCTGAGAAAGGAGAAAAAAAAGAAAAAACGGAGCATTTATTAACCACGGTGGTGTCTCCTGGGGCGCTGCAGCCTGGGACCGGGACACGGACAGGCACAAAGCAGGCGGTGACCCCGCAGGCTTGCACAAGGGCGTCTTACGTGACACGAGTGCATCGGGCCTCAGCTACACTCCCAGTGCAAAGGCAAACAGATGGCTTTAGCATCGAAATCACCGCGAATTGGATCCCAGGCTGATAAGGACCAGACAGCATGAACAGCCTTCCCAGATCCCGAATACAGTGAGCTGAGGCCCCCCCGTTTCACACCCTGGGCACCCCTCATCCACCCCATCTTTCACAAAACCCCTCTCTGCTTTGGCAGCGAAGGCAAACCAGCTTCCGAGCAGAGCCATTAATAGCTGGGAGCGGAGCAGCCGGGTACCAACAACGGAGCCAGCAATTCTGACCACGAACGGAGCCAGAAATCTGCAGAGTTCACATTTTTTGGCCCCGGCAGCGTTAGACAGAACAGTTTCCTATTGATAGCACCCGGCCAGTGCTCCCGTCCCCCCGCCAGCACCGCCAGCTCCTCCGGAGTTTTCAAATGCAAATGCAAGCTCCCTCCATGAAAGAGTCCAAAAATTGTTTCTAAATCATTAATATCGAGCTTCCCAAAGGGCTGATTGTGCTCCCAGATCTGTGAATGGCTGGGCTCTGCTCTGCCCCGGGGCAATCGCGGTGCCGTGGGAAGGACCCCAGCCCTGAACCCTCCTTAGGGTCGCGCGAAGCTTCGGGCTCAGAGCAAACCGCGTGTCATCCGGCGCTTCCCAAAGTCACTGCACGTGGATGGCGGGGCTGGTACCGTCCCTGGCTCCCAAAACAACCAAGAGGCTTCTGCCAGCTGGTTATTTTTCGGCTGAGAAAACTGTGACGGAGTTTGCAGGGGAGGCTCTGGGTACCTGCTGATGGACGTCTTGCTCTGGCTACGTACAACCCCCCTTTCTGGGCACCCCCTGAACCCCCTCCCGGGCTGCGTAAAGAGATGAGCAACGCTGGCAGCTTCACCCCAAGCTCGCTTTGAGCCGGTTTTATGTGTCACCCCAAAATATGGACTCAGAGGCTGAGCCCTGGCACGTCCCCGCGGGGGATTTCCCCCTGAGTGGTGGCAGCAGGGACGGGAGGGCACGGGGCAGAGCGGTTAACGAGCTGCTTTGGCCCAGCAATTAGAAACAGGGAACAAAGAGCCATTCTCAGCATCCGCCTGGGACACGGCCACCGGCACCCGGGGCTTTTTGTCCCTGCGCAGGGGGCCCGGGAGGAATCAGGGCCACCTGCACCTCCATCACCCGTGGGGACCCCAGAGGGGAATGAAGAAAAAAAGGATTCGAGGTCTGAAACTCTTCCCATCAGGGACAGACTTGAAGAGGGGCAGAAGGTGGGTATGTGGTCTGATAACAGCATTTGAGACCATGCCATGGGAGCGCGTCCCTGGAGAAGAAAGACCCCTTTAATCTCCCCCCCCAAAAAAGGCCTAACAAGACTCAGAGCTTGCAGCAGAAGAAACCAAGGAGGAGTTAGGCACACATTTTTAGGCTAGGGTAGCCCCGACAGGCAACTTTGGCCGAGCCACAGGAGAAGCTGCTTTTTAACCTCCCCAGTCAATGGCTGCTAACGGGAACACAGGGATTAGAAACCCCTGCCAACCCCTCCCGCGACAAGTGCCATCTCAACCTGCTGTAACAGCATCCCTCGTGCACCGGCGGCACCAAACCTCCGACTTCTGGGTTGAAAACCCAACTTCTGACCTAAAACCCGCGATCTCAAGGCCTGTCCCGACTCAGGGGACCAAAAGGCTTTGGGTGGGGATGGGCTACACGCGACACCAACTTAATTTCTGTCCTCGCAGGTGCATCTTGCTCACACCTCCCAAGAGGCTGCACACAAATCCTGAGCACTGGCGGCTTGGCCCGAGCCCCAGCGAAGGGATGCTCAGTTATGCCCAGGGCTGCTCCTGCTCGTGCTGATATTTCGGGTCATTTCCAAGCCTTTGGGAGGGTGATTTTGGTGTCAGGTCCTCAGACCTTCAGGAAAGGGCTCCCAGGAGCAGGGATCCGCTGGGTGCAGAGGTGACTCCCTGGTGCAAGGGGGAGAAGCCCGAACGTGGACAGAGTTAGGCCAAGAGCAATTCATGATTTCTTCCATACATGGGGCCATACCGGACCCCACCTCAGTGCTCAGCACTGTGGGCCACCACCAACGCACAGCGTGCACCAAGCTCAGCAGTGACCGCTGTGGCACCCCCAGTACAGCCCAGCTGGGCATTGCCATGCAACCAGTAAAGCCACATCTGGGCAGCTGCAGGGCCAAATTGCCATCTTCCCATGGGCACTACTAGCCCTTGATGGCCCTGAGCAGCCTCACCTGGGACCCACACCCCCACCCATGGGCCCAGGAGGTTATTTAAGCTCAGCTGGGGATACTAGTCTTGCCCTGAACGATGCTGCTGGTCTCCAGCCCTATTCCTGGCTGTGCCCTGCTGGACCTCACCCCTGCAAGCAGCTCCTGCCCCAGGTGGGTCCCTTGGGTGGGTGCTGGCACCCGGGGTGAGTCCTGGGTTTGGCACGATCTTCAGGGCAGGCATTGGACCTGTGTCACAGCCTTGTCT